TGAAAGAGTGTGAGTGTGTGGATGTGTATGTGTGGAGACACTGCATATGTGTGACTGCATGGGTGTGTGTGTGTGTGCGTGCATGTCTCAGGGCAGGCTGCTGACAGACTGCTTGTGTGTGCACATGTTTGTGTGTGTGTGCATGACGGTGAGTGTGTGAGAGTGAATACATGTGTGGAGACACTACACGTGTGTGCGTGCATGTCTCAGGGCAGGCTGCTCACAGACTGCTTGTGTGTGCACGTGTTTGTGTGTGTGTGCATGAAGGTGAGTGTGTGTGTGAGTGAATACATGTGTGGAGACACTACACATGTGTGACTGCATGGGTTAGGGAGTGTGTGTGCATATGCATGTCTCAGGGCAGGCTGCTAGCCTGCTTGTGCATTTGTGTACACATGCATGTATGTCTGTGTGCAAGCATGCAAATAGGGGTGAGTGTGTGTGTGTGGGGGGGGAAGGAGTGCATGTGATACACATGGTGTGGAGACACTGTGCGCATGTGTATAACTGCATGGGTTAGGGAGTGTGTGTGCCTCTGTGTGGGAAGGGGGATGAGTGGAGACCCTGTGTGCACATGATCTGGGTGTGAGATGGCAAAGGGTGCATATGTGTGTGGAGTGGGGGGAAGGAGGGTGAGTTTGTGTGCAAACATGTCCATGTATGGAAGCGCTGTGTGTGTGTGTGTGTGGGGGGGGAAGGGGAATGTGAGTCTGTCTGAATACACATGTGTCGAGGCACTATGTGACTGCACAGGTGAGAGTGAGCGAGCGTACATGTGTGTGCATGTGGGAAGTAGGGGTGAATGTGCAAAGATACACGTGTGGGCACACTGCGTGCACGGGTGAGAGGGCCCGTGCATGTGGGAAGGAGGCTGAGCCTGTGTGTGAACACAGACGTTGCTCACGTGTGTACCTGCGTGTGCACAGACCCTGCGGCCCCCTTGTGGGGCATGTCCTGCCGGGGCTGGGGGGGGCAGGACCTGGCCCCCCCAAGAACCCAGGCGTCCCGGCTGTAACCACTGGGCTCCCTGGTCTCTCTGAGCTGGGAGAGAAACCAGGCGGCGGGCTGTGGCCCCACCCTGTCCCGCCACAGTGGGGTGCTGCACGCTGCAGCTGGGGAAACCGAGGCACAGGGACACAGAAAAGGGACCCAGGCGTCCTGTTGGGGGCTCACCCCCCCTTCCAGCCCCCTGCACAGCCAGGGGCAGAACCCGCGGGGGGGGGCAGTCCAAACAGCCCCTTCCCTGGGGCCTTGGCCTACTGCTACCTCCCCACCCCCCTGCAGCTTTGGCAGCTGCTTCCTCACTAATGAGCGCTGCCCTAATTGCTGGAAGCTCATTAGTGCAGGGGGAGTGGGCGCTGTGCAGTGGGGCAGGGATAATGCCTCCCCCCACCCACCCCAGGCAGTGCCCGGCTGCAGCCGCCAGTGCCCGGGCACCACGTCTGCGCCAGGTGAGGTTTGGGAGAGTGCTGGGGGGGCATGGCCCAGCTGGTTGGGGCAGGATGGGGGGGCGGATCCAGCCCCCCACCCCAGGGGGCTGGCCATGCTGCTGCATCCAGAGCTGCTTGGGTGCTGGGGGGGGCACACTCGGGAGCACTGAAGACCTGGGACACGTGTATGTGTGCTTGGGTAGGCATACATGCGCATGCGCACGTGTGTGTGCACGCGAATGGGCAGGCATGTGTGTGCCTGTGCCTGCGTGGGTGCCCGTGCCCACATGCCCGTGTGTGAGAGCATGTGTGCGCATGTGCACGTGGGTGCCGGCATGTGAACGTGCAGCTCCGAGCTGGCACCTGGCGGATCCTGCCTGGAGCAGGGCACTGGGACTCCCCCAGACTTTGGAGCCGTGGGCAAGCAGCGCTGGCACTGCCCTGACACGGCAGCCCTGATAAGACGAGGGCAGAGGCTGGGGCTGCTGGGAGATAAGGGGAAACTGAGGCTGCGTGCCGTGCCGGGGGTGCTGTGCAGCCCTCAACAGGGGCAAGAGCTTGGCCTTGGAGCCCGCAGCCGCCCTTGCTATTTGGAGGCGCTTTCCTAGGGTTTAGCCATGGCCGGTACCCTGTGGCCTCGCCACACGGTAATTACATGCAAATGTTACTGGCATCGCCAGGGCGTGGACAGAGCCCGGACTCGGGCATCCCCCAGAGCCTGCCCGTCTGTGCTGCAGGCGGTGCCAGGGGCGGGTGGGGCCGGGAGGTGGGGGGAGCAAAGGTTGTGCCTCGCACGAGTGTCTAGTGCACGACTGTGCCCGTCTCTGCGTGGCACCCGCGACTGCACAGCTGCACTCAGCCAGGTAGGGGTGAGACCCCCGCCGGCCACCCCCTGCCCGGGCACCTGAAGACAGGAGGGGGTGGGCATCGGGCTGAGGAGCTGCTGGACCCCCTCCAGGAGCTGGGAGGGTGGATTTGGGGCTCCCCCCTGAACCATGGGGTAGGGGCCAGGTTGGTGGGGGCAGGTGCGTGACCCTCCGGGCACGAGTCACTAATTAAAGCGCCCTCCATGTGACCACACATGCGTGTGCCCATGGCAGTTTGCGTGGGTGAGGACCTGTGTGGGCACACAGGTGTGGTGGGGCTGCACGGTTCTGCACACGGAAGAGGCACCGACATGTCTGCTCGGGGGCTGAGGGGCACACGCGTGTGTTTGCGTGGGCGTGCATGGGCACTCCCGGCTGGGGCTAACGATGCTAATGGTCCCTGCAGGCCCCGTGCCCCCCGCCGCCCCCCACCATGGTGCAGCTGGACCCCAAGGTCACCCGCACCCTCGGCAAGACCAAGCCGGGCCTGCAGATCTGGAGGATTGAGGTGGGGTCTCGGGGGGTTAGGGTGGGGGTCTGGCCTTGCTGCCTGTGCTGGGGTCTCCCACTACTGCAGCCCAGGAGCAACCCTGGAGCCCAGGGCTGCAGTAGGACTGGGGGG